TCCTTCTCTTAAGACGGACTTGCACATTCCAGAAACGGTTCAGTTTGCATATCGTTGAAAGAATATACGAGTCGACTCTCCTCCACACGTCATATCGTGGGTAGAGAAGGGATTTAATTACAATGTTCAAAATTTTATATAATGACTACGGACATGATCCATACCATCGTTTCCTTCCCACCAGGTTGGAACACCTTAGAGGAAATAACAGAAGAGTTCAAAAGCCGAGGAGAAACTATATCACTGCAGAGTACTGATTCTCACAATGAGTCATAAACTCCTGGAACCGATTCCCAGAAGAAGTGGTGTCTGCAACCTCAACTGATTCATTCAAGAAGGGTCTGGAGAAGCACAGAAATTTAATAGAAAAGAACCAACATAAGCTCCAAGCCCTTTATCCTCAATCAACAAATCTGAATCGTATCACCATGACACAGTTGTGTATCTGGAATTCAATAAAAATAATTATTTACTTTATCCCATAAAAGTGTGGACTTCTCAGCATTTGGAACCATATCGCATCTAATCTACTCTGCAACAACAGAAACCAAGAAATCACAGGACGGGGTGTAGATAACCAGAACCGATAATAGCAGCTCTCTGGTATTAGTGAAACAGTGGAGTGACGTGTGTGCAAAATGTGTGAAATCATAATAGTAATAATAATTATTATTATTGTATCCTTTAATTCCTACAGGAACATAGGGCTTCAGCCGTGCGTCTCCATTGCTCTCGGTTCTCTGCTAGAGTCCTCACCTGGCTCCAAGTCTGCCCACACGTTTTAATCTCCTCTTCACATAACCTCCTCCAAGTCACCCTTGGACGACCAAATCGCCGCTTCCCTTTCGGGTTCCACTCGAGCGATGGCTTGTCTAGTGATGTCACTTGATGGTTTCCTAAGAGTATGGCCAATCCATCTCCATTTCTTCCTGATTATTTGTTGCACAATCGGTTATGCTGGTTGGTTCGTTCCCAGAGATCCCTGTTGCTGATCTTTTCTGTCCATCTGATCTTGAGTATTGAGCGAAGACACTGTAGATGAAGGTCTGTAGTTTGTTTGAGATGCTCTTTATGACGCGCCGAGTCTCTGATCCGTCTAGTAGCACTGACTTCACATTGGAGTTGAAAATCCGGATCTTATTTTTGATGCTGAGTGTTGTTGACCTCCACACAGACTTGAGAGTAGTGAAAGCTTGTCTTGCTTTTCCAATTCTTGGTTTGATATCCTCGTCAGTTCCGTCTGTAGTTGAAACGATGCTTCCCAGGTAGGTAAAGGAGGTTGTTTCTTTCAGGTTACTCCCTTTTATGCTGATTGTTGTCAGTTGTTGTTGTTGCTGTTGGTGGTGATGCCCAGGAATTTTCATCACCTCTGTTTTATCTATGTCCACCTGAAGTCCTATCTTTGATGCTTCTTCTGCTAACTTGTTGCTTTTCGTTTGCATGTCTTCCAGTTTGTGGGAAATCAGACATATATCATCGGCGAAGTCCAGATCCTCCAAGTTTTTTGTGTGTGTCCATTTTTTGCCTGTTTCCTCGCTGCCTGGCAATGTTTGTCTCATTATCCAGTCTACTGCAATCAAGAAAATCATTGGCGATAGTAGGCAGCTTGTCTTACTCCTGTCCTCACTTCGAAGGGTTCTGTAAGTTTCCCGTTGTGGATTACTTGGCAAGCAGCATATAGCTGTTGGATGAGATGTATTATCGTCGGTGGCACCCCGTAGTAGCGAAGTAGTTTCCAAATCACCTCTCGATCGACGCTGTCGAAGGCCTTTTCAAAGTCGATGAAGTTGAGATGGAGAGGTGACTGCCACTCCAAGCTTTGTTCAATGATGATCCGTAATGTGGCGATTTGATCAATACATGACTTGTTTCTCCTGAATCCAGCCTGTTCTGGTCGAAGTTTTGCATCCAGGGCATGTTTGATTCTCTCCAGGATGATGCGGCATAATAGTAATAATAACACCAATAAATAAAATCATAAGATAATTGAAATATTGCCACCACAAAGTACAAATATAAGAAAATAAAACAGCCAATTGTTTTGCTAATTACACAGTGAGTTGTTGGTCTCACTCTTAATACTTTCTCTATCGCAGGAAAAGAAGGCTAAATAGGGTACCATTGAGCTTTTCTACTTAGATCTAGTTCTACCTGAAGAAGTGCAAGAGGAGAGATGTGAATAGAGAGGGTGTTGGGATTCAGACAACATGGGTTTAGATCATTCCTAAAGTGAGTCCAGGTGTCTGTCGACCACAATAGTAACGATCTAACTTGGGGACACACTACTTGCTCTACTGAAAACCTTGAATACGCTTCGCAATGCAACAAAGTCATTTTTGAGTAGCCCGGGATAGACTACACAAGGGGTAGGAAAGAACATTGAGATGTAAGAGTTGACAAATTGTAAGAGTAGAGGTTAGGTAACTCTTGATTGTCCCGACTTCTTAATGTCGTAGGTCAGACTGAACATTTTCCTAGAAGTCGACAAGATATGGCAGAACCATGAAAGTTTAGAGGATAGAAGGCATTTTATGCTTGACTTAGTTTTTATTTCAGTGCTCCCATGAAGGGATCAGTAAATGTAGATCAAGTTAATGCCTGAAGGTATAGTTAATTGTCTGATATTTGGAGGAATTTGAGGTAAGAACATTTAGCTTAGACCACTGATTGATATCATAAAGAAAGCTATTAATTCTTCAGCAGTCAGTTTGGGACGTGAATGGCAATCGGACAGTTACATCATCAGCGTATATAATGAAGTTGATTTCTCCCGAAAGAGGTAAGGGTTCTACGCCAGGGCCTTTAATTTTTACTTTTACCAGCAATCTGCCATGCTGTCTAAACCGCTCGGCTTTTTTATTAGCCGAAGAAGTAAAGGTTCCGAGAGGAACAAACTACTCGCAGAACTCAGACAGGATACAAGCAGACCTAAAAGCTCTAGAAGACTGAGCACTGGTTAATGGTATGACTTTCAACCTGAAAAAAATGCAAAGTAGTTTAGTTAAAAACCTGTAGGCCAAAGAGGACGAAATACTCCCTATGTAAGGGTGGCTTCTCCTATGCAACGTCAGAGCGCGACTTAGGTCTAGTTCTAATGAGAAAAAGGGACAAAAGCGTGATTTGCACTAGTAACGCAACGAGAGCATATGCAGTTATATACTTCGCATACAGAAAGTTGGATGCTGCCACTTCTGAACTTTTTTCAAAGTTGTACAAATGAGTAAAACCAAAGCTTGGAATACACAGTATTATTATTACTATTATTATTCCGTTACTCAGAGGAGAGGACAGTCTTTTGGAAAGAGTTCAAAGATGGGAGACAAAAGCAGTGATGAATTCTCGGAACCGACAGTACGATGACAGGCTGAAGGAATTGTATCTTTCCACACCTGGCCACCGTTGACTTAGGGGTGACTTCATTACTGCCTGATGAACGGAACTACCCAAACAAAGGTATTCTGTTAGTAAGCAAGCATGGGCTTCATCATGGCAATCCACGAAGGATAGCGCATCTGAGAGTGAAGAGCTAGTGAGCTCCCATTTATTTTCTCTCTAAGTTTGTCGCCTCTGGAACCCTTCACCAGGAGATGTGGCTACTGCACTGTCCGCGGAAAGCTTCAAGCGGAGGCCGGAAAATCCCAGAATGACACAAAGACTGCGTCAAAGTAGCCTACCCTCATAAATCTCACACACATTATGGATGAATTTTCATCTGAGATCGTCCTTTACCATAACCCTATCCTCTCTTGTTTCACTCTTCTATCTACTCCACTTATTCACTCACCTGTCTGATTACTGCGTCGCTGGCATAGCGGTTAGGACGCTCGCTGACCATGCACATGGTCAGGGTTTCGATCCCAGGCTGATGTCCCCAGATATCAACGGTCGGCGTATCAAATTTGGGCTACCTATATCACATACTGAAAATTATACAGTTGTGTTAGAATACGATGTGGAATCAAGCTATAATAAAAAATTATTTTCATTTTCTCATTCGTTTAATGAAACTTCATTATCTATCTTTTCTACGTTTTCTTTCTAAGTATACACAATCTACAGTCCTTACATATACTACTGTAACATATTATTTGTCATTGTTGTCCTTCCTTTCAACCCCACTAGATGACTAAAAGGTGAAGCGGTCAACTCCACTCGCAGCAGCGACTACGAACTAGAGGGGATAACACTCCCACCAGTTCAAACTCATTTGGATTTAGGTGTCATTGTTAGTCACGATTTAAAAACTACAGCACACTGTCGCACGGTGGCTGCACGTAGTTCCACATCCTTATGGGAGATTCGCAGAGCCTTTACTAGGATCACCAGAGATATTTTCACCTCCTTATATACTTCTCTGGTGAGGTCAAGACTAGAAAACTGTATCCAGGCAGCCAGTCCTTGTCTTAAAGGGGATTTACACATGCTAGAAAGGGTTCAAAGGAAGGCAACACGTATGGTTCTCGGCATGACTAACTTATCATACGAGGAGAGACTAGACAGTTCAAATCTCTTCTCACTGTCACACCGTAGGCAGAGAGGAGATTTAATCACAATGTTTAAAATTTCAAATAATGACTACGGACCTGACCTATTGTCTCTTTTCCTCCCCACCAGGTCGGAACACCTTAGAGGACATAGCAGGAGAGTCCAAAAGCCAAGAAGAAATCACATTGCTGTTGACTACTGGTTCTCACACCGAGTCATAAAATCCTGGAACCGACTCCCAGAAGAAGTGATGTCTGCAAACTCAACTGATTCATTCAAGAAGGGTTTGGACAACCACAGAAATTTACTAGAAAAGAATTAACATAGGCTACAAGCCTTCTATCCTCAACCAATAAATCGGAATCTAGCATGGTCTCAAAACCCCATATAACCAATTCATGTACAGAAGGGTGGCCGGACACACTAGGCAAAAGCTTACCGAAGATCAACAGCTCTTCCCTTACGACTAAGAAGTGAGCACAAAGAATTCAATTTGATTTCCACTCCCCCGTGAAAAACGATATTGGATATTGGACGTCAGACCTTGAGTACGCCGAGGTTATTTCTGGTGAGTCGTTTGACCATTAATTATAGACATTGAAAATTGGAAATTTCACTACTAAGATACTGAAGATATGTAATAATTTCTGTATAAGAGTTGCATTCGAAACATTCTCTCGGAAATACGTCATTATATAAAATGTCAATGTCTCACAGGACTATGGCAAAATAGGTGCAGCCATTTTAGGGCCTGCAGGAGGTTTTGATCTGTGGTGACGACAGCCAGTGGTATCCACGTTGCTCGCGATAACCTACGTCAGCCAGCACTGACTTCAGGCTTTGTGCGGAAAACTTGCGGCAGACTACAGATGACTCCCACGTTTTGTAATGCACCCGAAGATTTCGCCCCGGAAATTCTGCAGTGCACCCGAAGAAAGTGCTATGATGATGTCATCAAGGATTTAACTGTGAAGCTGAATTCATTTGAAAGGCGAACTATCCTGACTTTTAAACCAGTACATACATCCAGTGGAGCCTAGAAGGCATGCCTTCAGACGGCAGTCTGAATGTTTATTTTCCCAGTCATTTTTGGAAAGTTTATCGCTGATTCAGATTCATTATTTTTCGATATGGGTTGAGATTTGGCCCAACACCTCATTCCGTACGTTTCGCATTCCCCCTGGAGCTTGATAATGTCCTCGTAAAACACGGGAAATGAATGTTGTGCAGTTGTATACAGGTTGGAAGTGGTCTTCTTAAATCTAGACTTCTGCCTCGTGTAAATTAATTAATTTAAAGAAACAACAACCGAAAGTTAGGATATACTAAAGTGCTTCGAAACAAACCTCTAATGAATAAATTTGTATGGTAAATAAGACTATGAATTGGATTGGTGAAAAAGTAATCTGTTCGAACTCAATGAAGGTGATTGTCTTGCTTTCAAAATTTGGTAGTATATTAACATTTTATAGGTAGTTTCACTAAGTATGACATTTAAAGACACTGAATGAGGATATTTCGGTGCTGTGATGATTTTGAAGCGAAATCTGACGTAGTGGCTAATAGTCTCTACTTTGAATGTTCCATAATCTGAGCACCTATATACACTTAAGAGACGTGACTTGTTTGCGTTAGCACTCAGCTTTTAAACCAACGAGTTACACTCACACCTCAACTTCTTCAATGTAAACAGCTGGTTCGTATCAAAGTAAGTATAGCTTGTGTCCTTCTAGATGAAAGATCTTCTTCAGATGACTGAACTCACGTACAGAGATATGAATATGCTGTTTTATGATACGATTTCTTTTCTTTTCTTTCAGATCATGTTATTCGCAAGGGGCGTTTGTAGTAAGTTGTCATCACATTTCATTTGTAGATTTATTTCGATTCATGATACACCCTGCTTGCAGTCAGAAAGTCTTCGACAGTACAAATATACCAGACTTAGTTAAGAAGTACACGTCTCTAAAAGATATTACGGAGAATTCTCCAGAAACAAATATGTAAATTGTACATTTCATCATAATTGGGAAAGTAGTCTGGGTCATAGCATAATAACAGAGGATTGTTTAACTTCAATAGTGGAAAACAGACAATATTATGAAATGCCTATCCTTCATTTATCAGCACGGAAGAATAATTTAATTGCTACACTAACCGATTGTAATGGGAGAGTTTTGAGTGGTACAAGTTGTGGTGCTGAGGGCTTCCGAAATGCTCGCAAAAAGTCCACGGTTGCTGCTCAAACTGTTGGCATTTCCGTAGGACTGAGAGCCAAGAAGCTAGGGATCAACGCTGTGCGAATCGTATTTTCTGGACGTGGTTCAGATAAACTGGTAAGTATTTTGCTGTTCTTTGTTGATATTATAGTCTGTACTTTCTGGCCTAAATATTTCTGGACTGAAGATAATCTCTTTAACAGACGATACAAATGTTCATTATGGTCATGGAAGGAGACCTAGAAAGCCACGCAGAATGTAAATTACTTGTATATACTTTCTGTATTTCTTACCAAAACACTGTACATAAAATATAACGTAGTCAATTTATCACACTGTTACAGACATCTTTTGCATTTATTAAGCTTCAACTGTATAGATTGTCTTTCTACAAAATGCCGTGTTCACAGGTTGCAGGCTATTTTTTAATGAAGGTCCACACAGAAATGTCAGACATCAAAACTATTGTTTCCTACAGAACCATGTAAATTGTCCATATCTACCCAACTTCATCACTTATTTGGATAAGCTACTGTACTCTCGCATTGTATGCAAGTATTTTTCGCGTATCCATAGTTTTTAGGAATTCATCTTTCTAGTATATTTTGGCAAGTCGAGTATAAGAGGTGTGGCTACAGACTAAGGAGTAATGGGTTATGCAAGCCAGAGAAATGGAGAAGGTAGTTGATGGTACTAATTTGTTCAGAACCAACTGCCGATAAGTATTTAGTTAATGAAAAGTGTTCAAGGATGTAAGAACAAGTTACTCACAGTAAAAGAAACTGCTCTTATGTGAATAACACTAAGAGTAGGTATCCTCAGCCTCTGATTACTCTTCTATTGTCTTCAATCAGATTTCAGACCAACTCGAATAGTTTCAGTAGCGTTGAGGCAGTGGCACAGGTCATCCATCTCTTCAAAACTTAAAACTGGGGATCCAAAAGTGAGAAGGACAAGCGGTTCAGATGACGTATGTAGAATGCAGGATTATTTCTTGACGTTTCAGTCTTTAAGGGACGAATTAAACTCCCTAGAACATACAGGTTTTACGAAAAAACAATAGGAAGACGTAATTTGTCTGAGTCATGTGATGGATTCGCGCAACACAATTCGAACAATCTGATCACAGCACTTTTCATAATAATAATAGTAATATATATGGAAGTGCGAGAATAGACATAGGTCAAATTAAAAGGCTGTATTGAAGGTAAAAATAACAATGGAGATCCATAAACCAAAGAAGGGAGATAATAGTGCATCTACCCTGGCATCAAAACAAACTTTACCAAAGAAGGTTCGATATGATGACGAATTATTTTTTATAACACATAAAAGTGGTTTAAATTTCCTAATCGCCTAGGGCTTCCACCAACGTTAGTTTACGTCCCAAACATTTTATAGGTAGGTTTACAAGGTCTGTAAAGATCAGTTTTATTTCCTTTCTCTATAATATGCCTTGCAATAGAACAGTTAGGTTGTCTGTTTTCACCGTAAATTGGTTAAGGGAATAGCAAAGTAATTAGGAGATATATCTGTGTGAATAAAAAGTTTTTATGAGAATTAGCGAGTCCTGTGCTAGTTTGTTTATTGGATAAATCGGACACTATTATTTACAGGATAACGTTTCGGGCACAATTTGTTGTCAATGTTCATATCAGTTGTAACTTGGAAACTGTTCTTTTCCATTGTGTGACTTATGTAGGGAAATTGCTAATGGAGGATTCACTAGCTTACATAAAACAGTGCTATCAAGACATTGTTTCGCTGCCTTGATGGAAGAGCATATCTACACCACGATCATTTTGTTGCAAAGCACTACCATTTGAACAAAAGACTTCGTCAAGGTTGGGGGTACTGAACAATAGTAATCCACAGGAACAGATCGTGATAAAATCAAACTGGAAGGAAACCATGGCTGGTCAGTTCAAAACATGCCACAATTATGTAGTCTTTAAGTACTTCCTCAGTCATTACGTAGTTCATTATGCTTGTTGATGAGGAAAAGTTCCGTCAACGTATAGTACACAGATGGTATTGCTCTTATAAGCAAAGATGCCAACAAAACTCAGACTATACCAAACAAAAGTCTAAGTATATTCGCCCCAATCAGACGTTAGAGGATACTGCGATGTTATTCTGAACTGATTCTTAGTGTAACGATAAGAAGTGAAGTGCTGAAGCGTGTTGACTACTTCATTTATTTGGAATGTTCCATAAACTCTGATGCGCTGGTTGACAACAAAATCTAGGCTCGAATACAAAGAACTCGTTAGGCATTCGCTCAGTAGCGTTATCTTTCTGCACCAACGCGGTGTGCACCTGTTCATGGGACATCTGTCTGTCTGGTTTCAACATAAAACTTTGCACCGGTGTGCAGCAGTTCGAGTTGCCATACTCCATGTAGTACACAAAGCAAGAGAAGAAAGTAAAAAGAAATACAAAATGGAGACAGTAAACAGAGACATGAGGGAAAAAGAATAGTAATATCGAAGAACAAGGAGTAGATAGATCTGCACTATTAAGAATGATTTTGAGCCATATCACCAATCGTCTCCAGCCATTGGTTTTTACTGTCCCGAGGACCCCAACCAGGAAGTCTACACCTTCCTACGTGGCTGGCTTAAACTAACTGTTGTCGATTTCATTGACTGGTGCCATGTTTTGGTTTGACCGCCGCTAGCTCTTTTCCAGCCTGACCCTATGTCAGCTAACATTGCCCGTTGTCGAGGAAGGCGATGGCTAGGCATGCGTAACACATGTCCTAACCATCTCAGTCGATGTAATTTCACAGCCTCGTCTATTGATTTCCCCTCTTTACCTAGCACTCGTCCCGTGCTTAACCTCAATACTGCTCACCCTATTATATCATTTCGCACGGGAGATAGAACGCAGGCACCTATGATCAAAGACAGATAGCCGGCCTTCTCATGTCTTCCACTCTCAATGGCCAGGTCTCACAGCCATAAAGGAGGACGGAGCGGACTGCTGAGCAGTACACACGCTCTTTTCGTCGATAGCCAGCCGGATATCACATCTACGCCAGAGACGGCGTAAACTGGCATTTGCGAAATTAGCCCTCTGTATCCGTGCTGGGATTTCGACGGCGATCAACCCATTGGGGCTGATGGTACTTCCCAAATAAGTGAAGTGGTCAACACGCTCTACCAATTCACTCCTACCTATCTTTAAGCCGGGAGTCGATGCATGCAGTCCAGTCTAGTCCTGTAGCATCATCTTACATTTGGAGGGAGCGAATCGCATGACAAACATTCGGAGATTGCAACTTTTTTTTTTGATTTACAGCTTGATTTCCACACCGTATTTTCAGTACAAGTGTGGAACTTTCAGCATGGATATCGGTTGCCCAAATTCAGGCATACCATAGATATCGGGTGTGCGCCGGCAGGGGTTCGAACCCCGTACCATGTGCATGGTCGGCGAGAGTCCTAACCACTGTGCCACCGACGCACAAGGTGTTCAGAAGACTCTGCATTTTGTCAGCGTCTTCACCTAGAAGGACTATATCATCTGCATATTCTAAGTCAACGGGACTATTATTCCCTGGTAGCAAGTCAATCCTCGAGTCTGTGAAGTGAGTTAGGGTTAATTCCATTAGTACATCTATGATGAAATTGAATAGAAATGGGGATAGTGGGCATCCCTGACGGACACCACTTCAGATGACAACTCACCGTGAGCTCTCACCTGGCTGCATGAGTTCGAGTTGAGTGCCTTGATCAGTGCAATGTATTTTCTCGGCATTCCCTTTACAGTTAAGCATCGTCATAGTACCTTTCGGTCGACAGAATCGAATGCCGCCTTGAGTTCAAGAAGTATAACGATTGTTGGACGCCGAGGGTAAGTATGCCTATGTTCCAGAATTTGTCGAAGGGTGAAGATATGATCAATACACCCTCTTCCTGGTCTAAAGCCTGCCTGGTTCTCTCGTGTTTGTTCCTCCCGAGCACCATTTAGTCTACGCAATATTATTGAGCCTAGGACTTTAGATACTATATTAGTCAAGCTAATCCCTCTGTGATTATCACAGGGAGACTCTTCTCCCTTCTTGTGTATCGGGATAATCAATGACTTACACCAACCCAATGGAACTTCTGATTCCCAGACTATGCCTAATGCCTTAGTTACCGCAGACAGTAGATTGTCTCCACCGTACTTAAATACCTCTGGTGGCGCAACATTGAAAGTTATAATGATGTTGACGGTGGTGTTAGGCGGGTAGGGAAAGCTAATCGATGAGGTTGTGGAGCTGTATGGATTTGAGTAGCTGAGACATGCGTTACTTATAATGAGCCCCGCCTTTCTTGACATAAAATGTTATCTGAAATGACATTCTATTGGGAAAAATTGCGAGTGATAACACCAGAAATAGACCACCGATCCATGAAGTGTCTGACTGTTTGTCAGAGATACGTAGACTGCTATCGACTACATGGCTGTATTCCACGAGATGCCAAAACCCAGTGGCTGGAGACTACTAGTGATATGGTTCAATAACGCATCCACTCTATTTTATCTGCCGGATCTACTAAATCCTCACTATTCTCTATGTAATTATCCTTCTGTAATTGCCTTTATATGTGCTGCGTTAAGTGTGGTAACCTGAAATGTACTAAGTTCTGCGTTGAAAATTCTGTTCATCCAATTTCGTTGGGGTTGTTGAGATGCTAACAGTCTCTGGTTGGTTAGTGATTGTAACGTCGCTTAGAATCGTTCACGACTCCACAGATGTACTGACTCGCTTTCATCCTCCAGACTGTGAAAATCCCCAATTATCTTAATGGAATTATCCTCTCTTTTTCATACATCTTAGTCCGTTGTACTTGCCTTAAACTTTTCTCACCTGTGTGTGTCTTTCTGCATTGCTTCAAAATGAAGAGATGCACTTTTGTGCAAAGTTCTACATCAATAAGATAATCAGAGGACTGCTTCCCAAAAAGACAATCGAAATAAATCAAACCATTTGAATCTAGAATGACACCAACCCACTAACATTATTTCAAAAACCACTACAAACCATGAAGTACTGGTTAAATATTTGGATACGAGCGCGTTCGCCTCCCTTTGTAAACTAGAGGAGTGATGTAGATATCATACCTACTGAATGTGCATCATTCACCGGATATAAAATTCAATAAAGTTATCCCTTTGGCACTTGTAAACCAAGACTCTCAGTCCGTTACTAGGAGTCGCAGCTACTCATTCGGCTATCGTAGATTGTCGTCACCAATATCTTAACACAATAATTCTGTGACCGCCTTACAAACCATCATCGATAACGACTAAAACACCTACAGTATAACAAACACGGACCTACTGAT